TCTCTTTGGCTTCCAGGGAACTGGGCTGCAGCGGCCGCTGGAGGTCACTGCCTCTATGCACCTCCCCATCTCACCATCGCTACAGCGAGACGAGCTATTCTTTATGCCTGTTTCTAAATATTTTTCAGCAGAAAATGGAATCAGATTGATTTCATGGGGGACAGCTGAGAGGGAGAGTCTAGGACAGGAGTTACAAGGAACTGCTTCCAGAGCAGTGGGTTTAATTTTTATTTTCTAATTGCACTGTACTCTCCTGCAGCCGTGATCAGGTGTTGGACCAGTAGGACTCGTTTCTAGAAGGCCAAAAGAGACTGGATCAGGGAGATCTGGGGTTAACATGGCCAAGGGGGATCCCTGCAGCACAGATTCCCCCTGGGAACTGCCCCAGCCCAGAGCTCTGCAGAGGCAAATTTAAATCTCAGGTGCAATTTGCATCTGTTGGAAGTTTGGTGCAGCCATTGGTGTTGAAACAAGCGTGGGTGTTTCTGTGTTGTGCTTCTGTTCTTGCTGCAACAGCAGGACAGACGTTCCTCTGGTGGTTGCAAACACCGCGACTGACTGTTCCATGGATAACGCTGTCGGTTAGACGCAGTCTCCGTTTTCACAAGGCGGAGGGTGTGATCCCAGGACAGATGGCGGTGCCTTCAGAGCTGTTAACTTGCTCATACCAGTGCTCCAGCAGCTCCGCCCTGCCTTGTCTCCCTTTAAAATCTGTAGCTAATTAACCCGAAACCCAAACCACATTCTTTCTGTTTGGGTGAATCATTCTGAGGCCATAGGCAATGACCAGCTTTATGCTAAACCTTCCTCTTTCATGTGGGTGCAACACAGCTGATGGTTCCCAGCCGCACATCTGAGATCCATCCAGTCACGCACAAAAGGATATTGGCTCCGCAGTGGGAATGTGCTGCTTGCTGCCTTTCCCTCGCCCCCGTGACTGAAATCCAGTTTAATTTCTCATCCCGGCTCAACAGACCAGGGATGAGGGGCCTGTCCTTGTGTGGTGCCTGCATTGTTTGCTTCTTCAGGGCCCCTGGGGTCTGGCAGGGGATAAAAGCCAAAACCCTCTCGGAGCTGGCAGTGGGGTGTGCGATGCATGGGCCCTGGCTCTGCTCCAGCATCGCACGCATGGGAGGCTCAGGCACAGTGGGGATCGCTTTGTTAGGGGCCTGGGAGCACAGGAGCGTGAAAAATCCTCGCTGAGTGGCACCACACAGACGTGAACAGCAGCAATCAGTGCCTTTTTGCTGCGCGGGGCAGAGTGTGTTGCTAGACCTGAAATTATCCCAGGCGACTGCATGTGATACACACATTTTGAGGGGAATTCACACAGAGAGATGTCATGTCCTTTTTTTCCCTTCTAAAACATTTTAAGTCATGGATGAAATCACACTGGGTGTAGTTAATGCTTTGTTTTCCCTGGGTTGCTGTGAATTGCCAGCGTGTGCTCCAGTTCCTCGCTGGATGCGTGGTGGCTGCACTGCAGAACATCTGAATGACCCATATCCGATCATAGCTGGAAAAAGGAAATTTCTTGGTTACTGTCATGCTGGGTTTTTTGCTATTTACAGCGCTGGCCATCTGCAGCAGAGAAGGGAGAAGGGCTCTCTGCTGCCTTGGCACTCTGGCAGCAGGAGCTGCTGAGCAGAACACAGCTATAAACACGATAATCAGTACATTTCACTTAAAAAATCAATGCTGGGTGTTTATCTTGTAGCCAGGAGGGAGGTTGGGTCAGTCTGATGCTGGATTTCTCTGCCTGTGACTTGCAGCCTTTATTTGGGAATAGGAAGATCCCATGGGAGAGCAGTGGTCATGCTTAGATTTGGCTTTGAGCCTAGAGATACCCCTTTGGGTTGTCTCTTCCAGATGGGACTGTGGGCTGGGGTCTTGCTGGTGCAGCCATGAAGTGGGGCTCTGGGCTAGAAGGAGAGCCCTAGGTCTGAGCTATGTTATAAAATCTATTAATTCAGGACGATTTCTGCCTCAGTAACTGAATTCACCCCTAATCCCCATTCACCTGCAGCCCAATCAGCCTAAATCTTGCCCTGGCATCGAAGCAGCAATTGGATCAACACATGGAAATGTCAAACTGGGAAAACTGGTCTGCTGGGACGACTCTCGAGCACGCAAGAGTAAAAGGTGTCTGGTTTTTCCCCAGGGGTGCTTCCCACTGTGCTGGGACCTGGTTCCTGCCAGGAGGAGGTGGAGCTGGAGGGACCGCATGGGGCTTCCTGCCAGATGGAGGAGGATGAAGGCAGCCACAGCGGAGCAGCCCAGCCCAGGTGTGCTTGAAGTGCCGGTTTTCCCTGAGAGATGTTTAGCTGTAAGTAGAATTTGCAATGAGGAAACAACTCACAGACGCTTGCAAAGGCTTCAGCAGTAGGGCTGCTTGCTCCCATGGCTGAAAATGCCATGAGTGTGGCTCGGATGCCATCCCAGCGCCAGGAGCAGGAGGCAGACAGAGCCCCGTGGTGCCAGAAGCGACTTTGTCCCTGGTGCTAAAGGCGGCGGTGGCCGGAAGCCAACCCTCATTGCTTGGCAGCATAAATAAAACAGCTGCTGCTTGAACGGCCATGAATGAAACCTCTGCTCCTCCGACTTGCTGAGCAAAGCTGGACTTTGTCCGAGCTGTCGATGGAATAAAGGTGCAGCAGCTCCCTGCTTGCTGACAGGGATGGAGATGCTGCCCATTGACTTCTTGTGTCCTATGCTATGACCTTCCCCTGGGCTGCCCCACGCTCCAGCTTCTGGCTTTGATGATCTTAAAGGTCTTTTCCAACCTAAATCTAGGATTTTACACTGCTGGGTTTGCAGGGAAGGCTCTGTGCTTGTCTCACTGCAGCCTAGTGCACAAGCCTCATGTTGGGCTCAGCAAGTGATGGAGAGGAGCAAGGGCAGATGAAAAAAGGCCCACCCTGAAGGCTGGAAAAGGCAGAGGCAGCAGAAAATGGGATGGAAATTAAGGCAGTTTATCTGCTTCAGCCACCAGCAGCAGAGCAGCTTCCTTCCTTCCAGCCTTGCCAGTTCTTGCCTACACTAGCAGCTAGGAAGGGCTGTGACATTGATTTATTTAACTCTGAATAATGGATCACACCCAAACCGTGCTGCTGTGGTGAGATGGTTGCAGCTTCATGCCTGTTTCCTCTGACCATGCCCTGTCCCAGACCTCCTGCCCTGACCTGAGCTTTTCCCTCCCAGCTGCTGCCTCACCACCACCTGCAGCAGGGCCTGGAGGACACAGCCTTTGGGAAGGGATGTGCGAGTGCTTCCTCCTTTTTGGCAGTGAGGAAACCCAGAAGATGACCAGGTATGGGCAGAGAATAGCTTCATATTTGGAGTTTTACACAGATTATGTGCCCTTCACAGCTTCATAAGTCCCGTGTTACAAAGATACAGGAAGATCTGAGCCCTCTCTGCCGATGAAGGTTTCGATTCTTAAGCTCTTTGCTATTTTGCTAAACATTATTTCAGGTGCAGGCTGGGAAAACTTGCAGCTTCAGCACACAGAACAGGCAAGGGACACAGTGGCTTTTATTCAGATTTATTGAAGCAGCTCCAGGCTGAATAATAAACACACACAACTGCTGTATATAAAAAATAAATGTACAGAACCAGCCAAAGTACTGACACATGTTAAGACATTTCAGGTGACTGCGTTCCCAGTCGCAGCAGCACAGACCAGAGCCTGCTGCCAGTTACTTGGGAGCTTCCTTTGTCCCTTCTAGTAAACACCACATAAAATATTCAAAGAAAGAAGTAAAAAAAGTATTCCTCTGATTCCTGCTCTGAGATCACACAAGTTAGGCAAAAACTTGGAAACCTTTTGCTGTCTCAAGGGATAGCACAAGCTGTCAGTCCAAGGCGGTCCCTTGGATCCCAGGTCTCCCTGGTCAGGATGACAGGGATTTACTCGAGTTCAAAGCCAAAGCTGTGTTGCCGTGAGCCTCTGCTGGCAACCAGGACAGTTCTCAGACTTGCCTATGGCTTCTATCTGGGTCCTCAGTGAAGGCAAAATCAAGTGTGAAGGCTGTAGAGCAAAGGAGAGGGTTGAAAAACCCGAGAGCGCTCTCCAGGCCTCAAAACCTCCCACACTGCTATCAGTGCTGCTTATTTCCCTCTGCATCCAGGAATTTTTCTATAGGTATCACAGGATATTTTGTTACATTAAACAAGTTCGTTTGGGTAGCAGACCTCTTGCAAAGGGAAAAGGAAAAAAAAACCTGCAGGGAGCTGTGATTCACTGGCATCTTTTCTGCCAAGAGCCTTTAGAAAGGTTTAATTTCAGTTGCAAATTTTTAAAAAGTTAATCACTGTGTAGCAGGGAAGAAGTGGCATGAAAGCGACACCAGAGAATAATTAGAAGCAGAGAAAACCTGTGTTTATATGTAGACAGGGCTTGTCTTACAAACTCAATTACTAACCATTCTGGGACTAAATCCCAGCTATGATCCTGTTCTGGCACCAACTCACAGCCCTGGCGTCCCACAAGACATTTGGGTGCCACCAGCAGATTCCCCGTGGCACCAGGAGGAGGAGGCTATGCTAAAAGCAGCCGTCGGTCGTCCATGGCACCGCGCGGTCTGTCCCGGCTCCCGCAGACACGCCACCCGTTAACGTAACGATCCGCTCGAGGAGCTCTCAGTACCGGGGACGACACCCAATCCTCAGAGAGAGCATTCCCCAAAATCTTTGCATAGGCCAAGACTCAGTGGAAGGGCTCACATGCCAGGTTAAGCGCCTCATTATTTATTCTTATCCTCTCCTTGCAGCATTTCAGCACCTAAAGAGACGTTCTCTCTCCTGCAGGGTTTCAGATCCCAAACTACCAGCCTAGAAACACGTTTTGGGAGCTGACATTTGGACAACTCCAGTCCAGATCCACATACATCTGCCCCTCAGGGTTCAACCCTCATTTGGTGCAAAGTTATGTGGAGGAGCTCTAGTCTGATCCGCAACTATTCACTATTTACCTTCTGGGTCCTTTGCCGCACGGCGGCTCAGGCAGAAAGGTACTTCCAGGTGCTGACGAAGGCGGTGGGGATGAGGGAATAGGGGACAGTGGTGACGCTGCTCCAGGTGTCGGACGATGGGTCGTAACAGTCCAGCGTTTTGCAGCGCTGCGCCCCGCAGTAGCCCCCCACCACGTAGAGTCTGTTACCTGACGTCACGGCGCGACAGCTGATGCGCTTGGCAGTGACGTCCCCAAATTTGGACCACTGGTAGGTGTCGCTGTGGAAGCGGTAAGCGGAGCTGGCGGAGAACTCCGTGTCCCCACCAATGACGATGATGTGGCTGCCCTTTGTACCGCCACGGTTGGGGGCAGCTGGCGGGCACCGTCCAGCGATTTTGGCGGGGATCGAAGCACTGCACCTTGGGCAGCTTCTCCTGGTTGGCGCTGGTGCCGCCAAAAACAAACAGCTTCATTTTGGCTCCCACCACGGCGGCGTTGCTCACGCCTTCTCGGAGAGGAGCCACCAAGGACCATTTGTCCAGCTGCGGGTCGTAGTGCTCCACTTGCTTCAGAGAGACAGAGGGAGAGGCTGGGAAGGCCCCACTCACTGCTGTGTGACCCCCCACCACATACAGGCAGTGGTCCAGCTCCGCTGAGCCGTGGCCAAACCGCGCCACCAGCATGGGAGCAGCTTTTGCCCACTCGTCGTGGAGGGTGTCATAAACCCAGACGTCTTTGGAAGCGCCGTTTTCGGAGCCTTTGCCGCCGGTGATGTACACTTTGCAGCCGATGGCACAGGCGCTGCACTCTTTGCGAGGGCTCGGGATGTCGGCGCGAGGAATGATCTCGCTGGTTTTATGATCCAGCATGTAAATCTTGTCGCACATGAAGGTCTGGCCGCCGAGCAGCAACAGGGCCTGGTTGACCTTGCGGGGTCGGGCGCAGCACCCCGTCACGAGCCCATCGTTTTGCAGGATCTTCATTTTGCAGCGTATGGCATCAGCCACGATCTCCTCCCCCAGCTTGTGGCTGGTCACCAGCTTCTCGCAGGCCACGTGTTTCCGCAGGTAGGACTCGGGCAGCAGGGCCAGGCGGACGGAGCGCAGCAGCTCTGGCAGGACTTCATGGCGACGGGGCAAATCGTACCGGATCCAACCCATAACGGCTTCGTAGACCAGTGTCTCATCCTCTACCTCCAGCTCTTCACTCTCCACCAGCTCCAGCAGCTTGTCTTTGGGCAGGCGGAGGAAGTCTTCGGTCTTGCAGAGTGAGGTGAAGTTGGCCAACGCCATCCTCCAGGACAGCTCCAGCAGCCGCTCGCAGCAGTGAGCATCGGACAGCAACAGCATGTTCAAACAATTCCCTGGGTAGAGATTCTTCTCCAAAAAGTCAGCTGAAGCATCCCGAATGTCCTGAAACTGCAACATGTCCCCAGCCTCCAGCAAGGATTCGGCATTCTCCTCGTTAATCAGCACCCGGGCTGAGTACGCGTAGTCCAGCAGCAGCTCCAGCACCTCGGGGTGCAGGGAGTCGTGGAAGTTGACCTCGGCGTCTCGGCTCTCTTTCAGGCCCCCGCTGAACATGGCCTCAAAGTAGTGGCTGCAGGAGGCCAGCACAGCCCGGTGGCAGTGGAAGGCCTGGTTGCCGGCCCGCAGCACCACATCGGTGAAGAGGTGCCGCTTGCGGAGCAGGTTGAGGTGAGTGAGGAGGCTGTCGGCATGGCCCGGTTTGTGGAAGAGATGGATGTTCATGGAGCCGGAGCTCGAGCGGGATTTTCGGTTCTCGTGGCTGCTGACGGACATGGCAGTGAGGTTGTTCTGTAAGGGAAAACTGGGGACTCAGCACGGGAAGGCCGGGAGCAGGGTCACCGGGAACGATGCGGGGTGCAGCTGGGGAAGCACAGTGCCCGGAGCTCGGCCGGAAAGGGGAGCTCGGAGGGAGAGTCCTGCAGCAGCGGGGCTTGCCCAGCTC